CTTCGCCGTTGCTGGCTGCTTTCTTTTTGTTGGTGTTATTGTTTTAATATCATTGTTAGCAGTAGTGACAGTAGTATCAACATTATGATAATTTCTGATATTATTTTATTATTATTACTATTATGATGATGATTACATTTTTTATAATAATTATTGTTATCGTTATTATTAGTAGTAGAAGTAGTAGTAATAGTAGTAGTAGTAGTAGTACCATTATTATTGTCATTATTACCATAATTATTATCATCATTGAAATTGCCTTCAGTAGCGGCAGTAGTAGTGTCATTATTATTATCATTACTGTAATCATAGTTATTATTATTGCTGTTGATGTTTTTATTATTTCCATTCTTCTCATTATCATCACTCTCGACATCATTAGCACTATCATCCTCACTCTCACCATTATGTAGTTATTACAGTCTTTTATCACCATCACCATCATCATCAATCTGTTTTACGGTTTCTTAGAATTATTGTCTCTATTGCCCACCCGTTGATTATAAAATCATTTCGTGTCTGTTATCACGTACGGTAGTTACGAAGAGATCACAACTCTTGAAGAATTGACAACAGATAGTAATATGCACCTTGATTACAGGGGATAAATTACAGTAATGTGTATGGTCTTATCATATCTGGACGATTGAATGGAGAGCCTGAAGTTATCACACGTTAAAGACTTCGTTTTATCCCAGCGCGCAACCCCGATTTATTTATATTTTAATAACGAGTTCGTGAAATGTCAGCATTATCTACATTGGTTATAGGTAAGTCACACATGACTAACTAACATTACCTCAAAATATTAGTATGCGTAAAAAAAATGAAAGCAAAAATTTTCAGTATTAATCTTCCTTTTGTTTTATATACTTAAAATCTTCAAACCTCAGTTAAGATAAAATAGTGTCATTATCAATTCCACGCGTAAAAAGAAAATATCCAAAGATGATAATATTTCACCCATTTAGATAAATGAAAGACGGCAGCCTCACTTCAGACAGGTTAGCCAGTGGGTAAACTAGCCTTGGGGCAATCTATAACTCGTAAACAAACTTTCCCAAGCCCAGAGCTATGCCCAACTATGCATATATTTTCTCTGTAAGACAAGATCTGTACTACATTTTAGGAAGATTTCTTATTCATTTTATGTATACATTTTCGGGCAAAGTAGATTATTGTAAGATAGTATAAATTGTTCCAGATAATGATAGCAGATACTAATCACAAAACAATAACATTGATATTAATGGTTATAGCAAACAGTAATTACAGTAACACAAATAGTGACGTTAATAGCAGATAACAATTACAAAGCAATTACAGAACAGTAACAGTAGTAACAAACACTGATTAAAACACACAAAGCCTATGGTTAAAACAGTAAAAGCCAAACCGTAAAAATAACAGTACTAATAACAACAGTACCTGTGCCATCCATCTCACAGCCGCCTGAGTTACTGAACGATTTCAAGGACGAGCAATCTACCGCCTTTAATTGGTTATCCTAAGGGCCAGAGCGAGTTGGTAATTGATAGTATACGACGGTGGTTAGTCTGGCTTCGATTGCCCTTATCTCCCTCTCTCTCCCGGGCTGTAGTTCTTCCGCGTCAGGTCCTTGAGATTATGTGAGATTACAGGGTTCATTGATTCGAGAATTGTCTCGGGTTAGCGTCTCTGTGTTGTGTGTGTGTATGCATGTGTATACATGTGCACGCACGCGCGCGGGCACACACACATATACGCACACACATGCGCACATGCACACACACACACACACACACACACACACGCACGCACGCACGCACGCACGCACACACACACACACACACACACACACACACACACACACACACACACACACACACACACACACACACACACGCACGCACACGCACACGCACACACACATACACATACACATACACATATAAAGATAAACAAAAATATATAGTTTAGACACACACACACATATATTCATATATGAAAGAATGCATATATGTCGGTATATCTGACCCCGTGGGTGCCCTTCGCAGGAGCTGGGCCACACGCACGAATGGGAAACCTTCGCCGAATTCCCTTGGGGCTTCTTCGTCGTCATCTGCGGTTTCCTCGTCATCTTCACCATCGACAAGCTGGTACGTGGAAAAAAATAAAAATAAAATGCCCTGTGCTTTTCACGTTAAGGTCATGGAAACCATCTATCTTTAAAAAAAAAATCTAAACGTTCTTTCTTCATCAACTAAAAGAAATAAAAAAATAGCCGGTACGTTGTTAAACAAAAATACCCGACCTCACCTCCCCCTCAACACACACAGGTCCACGCCATGGAACACGCGAAGCAGGCGTCAGGAGGCACCAGCGCTCACATCCTCCTTCAGAAGCCTTCGTCAGAGGACTTTTCCTCCCACTGCGAGGACCCCGAGACCACTGACTCCTCCTCCGATTGCCACAACTGCCACGAACTGGAAGGTAAGGGGCTGTGTCAGGTAATTTTATT